AGACAAATCGTTAAACAATTATAACAATTGAATGGAATAAACATCATTTTTGTTTTTGGTTTGCTATGGGTTTATCAGACTGGCAGAGTTGAGTTGTGTAGGCAAGTTGCCACATATCTATTTATCTATAATGTATATTAAACTTTTAATTGTTTAAAAAACTGTACTTTTTAAAAACACTTATAAAATATGTAAAATAAATAACACCTTTTTAACTAATTCTTGATCATCGTATGTCAGATTTTTCCGCCGACACAGATGCATTTCCGAATCCAAGGCTAGTGCAGTTAGGTAGTGACTAATCTTAATATATTTTTGAGTATTTTATGGCAGATTCAGCATTTTATTATTATTTGCATTATTTTCTTATTACGAATATATTCTATACACTATATTACTGAAAGTTTTTTTGTGGGGGGCGCCAAAACGTTATTTTGCCCCGGGCTCCAGTTATGCTTGCTACGCCACTGAAGAGTAGTTGAGTAAAACTGCGAGATGCAAATTAGTGGCGCTGCTTTCGGAATACGTCATCTGCGAGGAGCATAAAAGTCCATGTTTGAGAGCAAGCCCACATATTTCACTGTGACAGTGACATCAGAAATATGAGATAGCCAATTCGTAACAATAACCTCCAGGCATCATTTGCCTGCAGAACTGCGATGCAGAGCCATTGGGAGGCTAGAGGCAGGACAAAGTCAAACAGAAGTGGCCAGATGACTAAATGTGAGTCCTTCTATGGTTCATAGACTTTGGAGGCAATTCCAACCACAGATTTGGCATCTAGGAGGTTCAGCCAAGGACACCCAACTGCTACGACGAACGCCGATGACCGATATTTGACATTATGTGCACGCATGAATAGAACCGCTACTCCGACTCTTCTTAGATCTTCCCTTGCTGCAGCCACCGGAAGGTTCATGTCAACGTCAACTGTGCGTAGAAGGCTTCACGAAGGTGGTCTGTATGCGAGGCGACCAGCCATTTGTGTGCCGCTCACGTCACGCCATAGGAGGAACCGTTTTCAGTGGGCACGACAACATGTCCACTGGACGCCTGATCAATGGAGGGCGGTTCTCTTTGGATGAGTTCAGGTTTACTCTAGAAAGCGATAGTAGACGTTATTTGATATGGAGAGAACCTAGAACCCGTTATCATCCGTCAAACATCCGTGAAAGAGATGCATACGGAAGGGGCAGTGTCTGTATTTGGGGTGGCATCTCTTTGGGTTGACGCACAGACCTCCATGTCTTTCCAAGGGGAATCGTGAATGCTCAGATTTATAGAGATGACATCCTCGATGTTTATGTGCGCCCATATGCCGGGGCGACAGGTGATGTTTTCCTGTTACAGGACGACAACGCAAGACCACATAGGGCTCGTATCGTAGATGATTATCTTCAACAGGAAACGATTATGCGCATGGAGTGGCCAGCTCGATCCTACCGAGCACGTTTGGGATGCTTTAGGGAGACATCTAGCTGCTCTAAATCCGCCCCCTCAGACCCTTGTCGCGCTTGCAACTGCTTTGCAAGAGCAATGGCTCTCGCTTCCTATGCAACTGATAGACCGCATAATTGAAAGCATCACACATCGCTGTATGTGCTGTATTGCTTCTAGAGGCGATCATATTCCATATTGAAGGTACTTTTCCTATAACAAAGTGCCACCTTCGATTTGTTCATTTTATACATGTGCTAATTTCTATACATAATTGTCAGGTAATTTCTTTTTATGTTATTTGATACCTTACTATGTATTGTATATTGTGGGTAAGTTTCATTAAATTCTACATGTAACTTTTCCAGTAATCGTGAATTTTGTGATTTTTCCTTAATTTATGATAACCAGTGTATGTTGCGATATTGCTCTTGAACTGAATTTTATGGTTAAAGTGAGAAGAACGTGATATTTAATAAATAAAGGTAACAGACTCAACAGCTGAAACTTCTAGTTATTTTTCTGAAGTTACGCGGTAAATAAATTTTTGAAATATAGTTTAATCTGTTAATGATACTCAAAACTATTCACATATTCTGAAGCTGCTGCACTGATATGGCCGTTCTAAGGCGTCCTTGAGCTTCAGTATTACATATTATTTTTGCAGCAATTCCTTCAGCGGTGGGTGGCTACCGGCGTTCAAAAGGCATAATTTAAAAAGGAAAATAATTTAAAAAGGTAAATTTAATGATGCGTTTAGGAGGCTTAGTAAAAAATAAATAACAAAAATCCTTATAATGTAAAAACGTAAATAAATGCACTCAAAGCCTTATTCTCAACGCAAAAAGCACAACCTAAACAAAGAAAGGTGATGTACATATTGGCTTTTCCGGCTGCCCACTTCGAGCGCGCTCCACCACATCCTTACTCTCGGGTGGCGAACATTTATTAGCATCTCCTTGAGCGCGCACCACCACCACCTCTTCCCTCTAGTTTACTCTTTCTCCTCACACACACAACCCTGCAATGCCCTACATCGATGCCCGATGACACAATGTACCTGCCACGTTATATTATAGCTGCAAACATCATTTTATAAATAATTAAATACTGTAAATATGAGTTTTCATAAAATAAAATAGTCTACGTTTTTCTAAATAAGCTAGAATTTTTCAAAGGACGAACAGCTAAAGTTCAATGGAAATTTTACATTTACAACGTAAAGCAATTTTATTCTTTTATGAACTTTATAAGTTACTTGTGGTCTACGGGGACGGCATGAAACTCTTGCTGCACAATTTTTGCTCCAATCTAGTTAGGGCATTTATATGAAAACTTTTGACGGCACGCGGTATTGATTACATAGGTACCAATCAAAATAACTTTTCAAGAAAGAGATCAGAAAGAGATTTCAAAATTCCAAACACTTCTCCAACTTTATAGAAAATTCATTAATAACACGAATCCAACAGACACATTTGAATGAATCATTTTCGCATTTCAAATGGGACGGCTGATAAATGATCTTAATGAATTACAATTAAAGTACAATATTAGATGGAAACGCTTTACGAGAAAATGAAATGAAAATTTTCGAATTCACTTTTCAGATGCGCTGCTGATTAAACGTTGATCTAAATTGAGCTCATTTATTAAAACATCCTTCATCTTGAACGAACGGTCAGAAAATGTGTATTCCTTGTGAAATTTACAAATTATCAGCTATGGATGAGCATATTACGCAGCTTCGTACACTTTGTTTTTTTTTTCAAAGATAAATATGAAAAAATACTTTGAGGTTTAACAGACGGGTTAGAGTTAGACGGCAAAAAATTGCTTGTATCTGTTCTTAAAGCGACTGCTTTGAAATTTCTACACGAAAAAATGGAACCCCAAACCCGCTTATAAGTACGTTAATTGATCGATTTCCGAGATAACGTAAAAAGAATATGTTAAAACGTAAAAAGAATATGTATGTATAATATAATGAATAATTTTTTGCAATTATAAGGCGTCATTCTTTTTCTTCCGTAAAAAATCGCCAAACTGCGCCAAGATGTAAATACTCAAGTTAACTCTTAATTAATATCTAGCTATCAAATTAGTACGAAAAATACAGATCTAAATGCGTATCCATTTTATTAATTTAATAATATGCTAAAATATATATATATATACTATAAATATAAAAATATATAAGGTGAATATGAATTTTACCTTTTTGGTATTCAAACGTGAATTTCAATCATAGAAAATTCGAGAAAAATTAAAATAAATAAATAAAAATAAAAAATAAAAATATTTGAAAGGTTTCAGATTTTAACGGCAGCACAAAAGGTTTTGTTAGGATTTTTTACCCTCTCGCTGAGCTCGCAGTCTGTTACTCTGCATAAAACATTCACTCTTCATAAAACATTTTTTTTCTTTTTAGCTTTATTATTAAACATAATTTCCTTCGCACTTACGGCACAATGCGATGGTAAAATTACAAAAAAAATTTTAAAGCAGTATAGCAATATACGTTTAGAATTCTCCATGCAGCGTTAAGCATTGGCATGCACTTTTTTTTTTTTTTTTTTCAGACTTTTCTCAGTCGATCATATCAATGCTCAGCTTAAAATTTTTTGGTTCCTTTATTATTTATGGTTTACTTTGTTTATTAAATATCCCGTCCTTGGCGCTTACGCCACGTAAAATTCGATTCAACAGGAAAATGACAAAATATTTTAAAACAACGTATCTTTAGAATTTCTGATAGACAGTCTCGAGAGCTGGAGACAAAAATGTTTTATCTTATTCCGTACAGTGTTGCCATGGCTCGCTTTAAAATCAGTCAGTTTAATAATAAAAAATTTGTTAAAGTTATACAAAATATGAAATAGATAATAAAACAAATTCGAAATTCAAAATAGGGGCTTCCAGGTCAACATGTTTGGGTGGAGGATTATGTTATTCAGAATTTAATGGCTCAAGGTCCTGTTGTTTTTTCGCAATGAGAGAAACATGCACACATTCATGCAAATTCCTCACTATTTAATTTGTTTAAATACAATACGGGGCGGTAATATTTGATGAGAACGATTTGAAAAGTGGTACAACACAGTTAAACGTTTCGCGCAAAATGCCGTTTCGAAACTAATATCCCATTTGAGAATCCCTTCAGGGTTAAAAGAACTTTTTGATTCATAAATTACAGATATGTTCATTATCAGTTCAGCCATTATTAGTGGCATTATTAGTATTATTATTTCATTATCAGTGAAATTAGAACATTCCCATACTTAGATCACTAAAATGTAATACTATTTCAGAAATGTCTCGAACTTGCTTCTTATGAAATATTATTCATTCACTGTAAAGTTAGTTATAAATTTAAGTTAATCCTTTAATTAAATTATTCGTTCAGCCTTTTTAAACATTTAGTTAAAATCAAAATTAATAAAATGTTCCCAGTTTACATAACTGAAAACTGACACACTAATCTTACGGCGTCTACCATTCACTAAGCTTAGCTCTTAATTTAATTTTCATTTTCAACTGTATTTTATTTTTACACTGCTCACCTTTTGGGTTTCAAGTATGGCTTCACAAATTCCATTATCTTTTCGTATCGCCACGGCTTCATATTATTCCTATTCTTGCGTATGGAAAGAGCTTGTCTGTAGCAGTCTCTCGCATTTTTCCATTCTCTTTTCAATTCAGCACCTAAAAGATAATTTAGATATCAATATATATGATTTTTAGTTATGGTATAAGAATGTATGATGAGGAAAAAAATATAGTACTTGAATATCATCCCTGCTTTTGATAACTCTGAAAGCCGTTAAGAATCCTTCCAAAAAGATCGGATTTAATTTTTTTCCCCTTTTTTCTCTCCTCTTAATGTTCCTTTATAGAGGCGGATGTCTTTTTTCTTTTTTTAAATTTCAACTTTAAACTAATTACAGCAAACGCGTATCTTCATTGCATCAACTTTTTTTTTTATAATGACCCACTCACAGCTTTGAAGTTATCAGCATAATGTATGATCGTCACCCACCAGCGGAGCAGGAAAAGCCGCTGAACACTGGTAGTTCAAGTCTTGGTGAAGGGGCAGGTAGCATCGGCGTTTTCGTGGTTTTCCCCATGTGTTACGCATGGAGGTAGGAAGTAAGATGGAGTCGCCCTAAACAAGTTTCTCCGTACCCTGCTCTGAAGCACCGGCGATCCCTACGTGGTGACCAAAACATTGGGTCATTTACCATTGAGTTCTATAGGATTTGACGCGTTCGGGTGTAAATATTTTGTAATTACGTCACAAATATACATATAAATGTATATATTTTCTTTTTCTACAACACTTCAGAGTCCTAAGTATGTGAAAACAACATATTTTTAAACAAACATTTCATTCTGAACGGAATTAAATGCTTATACTTTTCACAGGACAGTTTTCTCAGAATGGTTTAATTTGAATGAAATATTTTTCACAAGTTTTCGTTAATTACATTAGAAAAAAAATTAAGGTAATTCGATTTTATTTGGTTAAAGTACAAAAATTAAGATCAAAGTTTATTGTATTTTTAATATTAAAATTATGCATTATTTCTTTTCTATTTATAGAGCTTCTTCCTAAAATACTTCCTTAAATACGACATGATTTTTTGGCATCTTTTAAATCGAAAAATGGAAGTCAAATTATAATTAATGCTCTGTTCGGTTCATTTTAAATTAGAGAATTATTAGGAATTAGCGAAATACTTTAAATAGTACTTGACTTTCTCTGAACATTTCTGAAAGGGTATAAAATAAGTTTTTTTTTTGAAGTATTATTTAAAACTTGTAACTGAGTTATTATAAAATGTAAGGGGAATAATTCTTTTAATTATACTTATCAGATTTTTTTTTTACCCTTCATTTCAACAATACATATTCCAAAACTCTTTATTACGTTCTTAAGTGCGCATCTCATAGCATTTGCGTTACAATACCTTTTAACAGATTGCTTTCCAATACGAACAATTCTTGCTTAAATAGTTTTATAACGTATTTGTCAACAGGATTTCAATTTATGTTTACAATTCAATATTAAGGTTATTATATATTTATATAACAATTATAATCATTATAAATTAGATACATTTAATCATTAGATTTCTTCACAGTACTTTCACATTTGTTTATAAGTGAATAAATTCTTCATTTCAAATACATTTATAAATAATTTTAATGAATATTTGAGTACTTTGTCAAAGGCAGATACATGCTTTTTTGCAAGCACATGCATAAATACCCATACATATTTCCTATTTATCATTTCCGGCATGTGCAAATCTTTAATTTCTGTGCATTCACTATATTTTTCGTGTAAAGTAATTTACACTAATTTAGCATTACACCCGAAAGTTTTACATAAAAAAATATATATGAATATAATTTGAATGAAAAATTATAAGTATTATTTTTAATACCACTAAAGGTCAGTTTTTCTTCAAAATTACTCCACGATGGCATCTCTCTCTTTAGGCAGATAGCCCTTGCATGCGTTACTCTATTTAATAAAAACTTAATCTGACCTATGAGCCTAATTACAAATATTTTAACATACATAATTTTATATTTACATTTAGCCATCAAGTTTCAAACTTTTCAAATCTTCTAGAAAATAAATTTTGGCAGATCTCTTTTAGCAATTTTCTTAAAATCTATATTTTTGTAGTGCAACAGCTTAGAATTTTATAAAACAAATTCATAATCGAAATCGCTGTTTTTAGTTATCGAAAAATAACCAAGATGTGATTTTTGCGTAAATGTCAGTAAACTATACAAATTGCTATTATCCATTACACTATGAATATTTCTTTCATGCGAGAGTGTCCCTTTTTCGATTTCTATGGAACTGTTGTGTGTCGAAATACTATCAGAATCTTGTCAAGCGAACTTCTGAATGTAAACAAAGAACACCCCGTCTGGTGACCCAAGCTTCAAAGCATTGCTTCACTTCTAGCGCGGAATGGCCCCTCCTCCCTTTCCTACCTCCATGGTGTTACGACAGAAAATTAAGAACTAAAGTTGTCTACCAGACCTACGTAGGTTCAGATAATCAATACGTATAGGAATTGAGAAAAAAGGATAAACTGACTTATCTGGGTAATATAAAGATAGCCATCAGAGAATATTAAAGCCGGTGATTGGTGTAGAAGCAGGAAAACGAACGGGGGTTAATTCACTTATGAATACTTTTATTTTTAAAATAGACAGAACAAAAGTTTTACATCGCTGGGTGCAAGTCATTAAAATAATTAAAAATCCTTTGAAGCTCCCATTCTCAAAATTGTAAAAATATACAAAGTGATCACAAAGTCCCGTTACCCTGTATGTATTGCATAAATGTTTATGAATTGTTGTTTCTTATTGTTGCAGGTGCTGATATACATCTAAATCATTGCTGAGTCCACTTATACCATGGAGGAACGGATCGTAATGAGCACGTGAGCTGAAGAATGACTCCACCCCCATATTAGAAAATCAGTGAGACATATTGAGCATGATTTCGTTGTAGTTGTCCTCTGCCATGATCCCTCATTAATACAGTGCGGCAATTTATGAATTAATGGACACGCGATAGGGGGTAACAATGATCACTCCGTAGTTTAAGACTTTTGCCAGAGCACTTTTATTAAACATGTTTAAAATCTGAAGACAATTTCTAATAAGGTTACTTGATTTTTGCTAGTTCACTGCTGTTCTCTTTGAACATATTTATGAAACATTAATCAGCTTCACAACATCATGTGTAACGTGGTTACGAGTCAGTCTTCCATAAAATGTCCTCCACAGGCATCCCTTCCTTTTTGTGTAGTACCTAATGCCGGAGCACGTAATAAGTGAAAAATATTTTTTGATCGTCTGGTGTTAAAACCCTCTGACTGCTCGATTTGTGAACCGAAATCGCTTCAAAAATTGTGTATTTTTTTTTACATATTTTAAATCTATATATATTTGAGAAATGAAAAATGCAGTTTTTGTTCCTAGAAAATATTTTTTATATAGATTTTATCATGAGAAAACTAAGTTGGCAAGAAAAACCAATTTCAGATGCTATCACCAAAAAAAAAAAAAAAAAAAAAAAAAAAAAAAAAAAATCTTTTTTTTTAAAATAAATTTCAGTCGAATTACAGTTAATTTCTTTATTATGTGCTATAATAAAAAAAGTAAAATGTATAAAATTTTAAAAAAATACAAAAGCGCTGAGGAAAGAAGAATACTTTAGAAATGCAGTTTAGTATGATAGAGTTCAAAACAGGGTTGAAGGCAAAGTCCAACTTCACAGTCTTTGCACCAGATTCAATAAATCTAATTAATAATTAATCTAATTATTAATCTAATCAATAATTCAATAATTTAATTAAATAATCAAGATAATCGCTGAACGTTTTCTAGCAGCCATTTCTGTAAGAAAAAAGCGGCAAAAAGTGAAGTTTGAGCGGAAATACCACGTGCCTTCAAATGCCGCCATTTAGTGAACAACTAAACGATATCTGTTGGCCAAAACGTAAACTAAACGTCTAATACTGTATATAATTTATTTCAATGGTTAAACGGAGAAAAAAAGGGATGCGCTCCTCAATAAAGGAAAAAAAACACATGCCCGCGGAAATCGCGGAATGAGCAGCCAGAGGGTTAAATTTTAGCTAACTCATTTTGTCTTTTTAGCCTTATTGTTAACCAACATTTTCTTCGCACTTACGCCATGTAACAGCATTCACCAGCAAAATTATAAAAATTTTAAAAGCAGCAGGTGTATAGCATTCCCGATAAAATGTTAAGTGTTGGCATACATTTGTCTATTTTTTTCAGTCTTTTCTCAGTTTAGCATATCAATGTACAGTTTTCTTAGTAAGACAGCTTTCAAAACTTCTGTTTCTCATTTTATTATTAACATTTTGTATGTTAACTTTATTTATTAAATATTCTGTTCTTCGTACTCACGCCACATAAAATTCAGTTGGATAGCAAAACCACAAAATATTTAAAAACAGCGTATCTTTAGAATTTCCGATAGACTCTCGCGCGCTGAAGATTGTAATGTTTTAATCCGTACAGTGTTGCCACTGCTCACTTTCAAATCGTTGAGTTTGTTAAAAATTCATTAATGTTTTACAAAACATAAAATTTGAAATTCAAAATTCGGGCTACTAGGTACTCATATTCGGGTGGAGGGCTATGTTATTCAAAATTCGATGGCCGTTGTTTTTTCACGTTGCGTGAAACATAGATACATTCATGCAGACTCTTCATTATTTAATTTCTTTAAAAGTAATGCAGGGCGATAATATTTTGTGGCAACAATCTGAAGAGTGATTCAGACATTTAAAGTAATACCCCGCCTAATCCCGTTTCGAGACTAATAGCCTGTTCGAGCTAACGCCTTCAAGGCTAGAAAACTGTTTCGCTGATCTGCTGAGGTAGAAAATTTATTGCATCATTAAAAGCAGCCAATAAATTTTGGCAGTGTGTCAGGGAGTACCGGTTAATAGACATGTACCGAATAAATAAATAATTCTAAATGAAATTTTTGACCATCTTGTTTGCTACACTTTTTCTGCTTTTAGATTTTGAATCTTATAGAATTGTTTGTTTGGTCATCATGGTTTTTCTTACATAAGCAAATACCAGTTTTCTCGCATTTAATAGCATATTTGTTTTCTAGCTTCCTTTCTTTCACAAAGCTGAACAGTTCTGCTGATGAAAAGTGACTGTTCCTTTGTAATACACGAAGCATATTATAATACAGCTTAACATATCACTCAGAATGACAAGTTGGCAGTTAAATGATGAAAATGTTTTCACTCCACTTTGGTCATAGCCGAAAGGTGGACATTATATGATCGCCTTATATAAGTAGAAGGACTTGGCTCTGTAACTTTAAAATAGGTACTTCAAGGTTGTACCGACCTCCCTCATTTACGATCATAACGCGTGTCGTCATAACCACACAAAAGAGATTGGATTATTTTACGAAATTAGAGGATTCGGCCACTCGCCGCTGCAATCGTGATCATGGTTAAGAGGTAAGCCAGAAGGGGGGAAGGAATGACCACGAGGTACTTATTCTAAAGTAATACACTATGTAGTATCATATTTAGTGACAATAATTATGATTAGCCTTGCAATCTTATTACTGTATTATCATTTCGCAGAAGGGAAGACATAGTTAATAAATGAACCAATAATTATAAATAAACATTATGTTATGCATTCTTAATTGAAATATAAAACCAATCAGATTCCATAAATGTACAATTTAGATTCATCACATATGACCATTAGATAATTATGGGTATAAAATTCAGAGGTTTTACTATTTTCTAATAAATCCATTTACTTTTTTTGTCAACCACTATCTAAAAAATGGTAAATAAATTCAAAAATAACCCGAGAAAAACTTCTTATATTTCACGAATATGAAGAATATTAATTACAAAATGAAACGACATTTAGGAATCTGGCGGTCTATGAGTGCTGTTGTTAGCAATTTGCGTTTTATGGAAGGAAATATAGATAGGTACAATGTATCTTGGCATTCTAAAGCAAACGTCTTAACCTCTGCATATAAATTGCCCCTTGGAACTACATTTACTTCCCAGCAGGACAACGATTCTAAACACACCTCCGAGATTTATTCAAGAATGGTGCCTCTGTCATGTTAAATAGCAGCTTCATAGCACACCCGAGTCTCCAGATTTAAACCCCATCGAACATTTATGGGAAGAAATCGGCCATGAACTCAAATGTATGATGTTAAGAATAAGGTTGAACTAAAAAGCACCGTTCATGACATTTAGAGCAACATTTCGCTTGAAACTAAGCAAAACAACTCCTGGTTGTCATGCATAACATTTGAGAGAAGTCAACAAAGACCGAGAGAGAGCCTACCGACCCTTAAATATAACTTGGTTAACATGCAAAAGATCTTTCATAAACTGTATATACCGTTCGGAAAAAAAAAAATTTTTCCCTCATTACTGGCATTATTTTTTCCTTTAAATTTATTATTTATTATCTTGATATTTTTTCTTTATCATAGTGGCATTTTTTATAGTCGCTTATTAGTGGCATAATTAACGCCTTAACATAGGCACAAAATCTTCTACAAGACTTGTTTCTAATAAAATTTAAAACAACCAAGAAATATTTACCTCTCCCCCAATTTCAAATTAAAAATTGTTTCTTTGTTTACAAAAGTTTGTAAACGGAATAAACTACCGGCATATTTCGATATTCTACCGTTCTTTTGATCGATGCCATTTCGCGAACCCACATTTGCTCATTAGGTATCTCGTACTGAAACTTTATTAAATAATTGCTTAAAAATTATGAAATTTCAAAAAAATACTTAAAAAAAAAAAAAAAAAAAAATCTCCACTCTTAAAAGCCGACCATTTCAAAAATTCACGAAATATTTCACACTTTTTTACTAATACTAAATTGTTACTGTCAATAATTATATACAATTGCCTCAAATTAAAAGAAGTGTTGTGCGGCTATCATTTTAAACCAAAAACTGAAAACCAAATCTTGGACCAAGCATATCAAATGTCGAAATTGCCAAAACTAAGCACGTTGCATGAAATAGTTTACATGATACATGATTATTTATACATTATAACAGAATATATGATTATTTTAAATATAAAAGATGGATTTTTGAAGAAAATTAAAACATTCGAATATGAGGAAGGTTTTTAAGAACTACAATACATATTAGTATATGTATTAGTATGGATATCCTGTTAATCCTATTAAAACTCTTATTTTAAATCAAAAGCCTGAAATGATTAGTCAGTGAAAAATATATGTCGAGTGCTAAAAACAGGCCTCATACCTCAATTCGGCCCACCAACGGCTAAGCGTTAAAAGCCGTTATGGAAGAATGTAAACTGAACGAGCGTGTGAGGACGAGATTTGGAAAAATAAATAAACAGAATGTAATTGAAAAAAGAAAATTCTTGAATAGCTATGCAACAAAAATTAAGAGGATTGTGAATGAAAACAAGGCTATCATAGGAATAGGACATTAAATATTTTAGTTTTTCTTTTGTTTACGAGTTTCTGTGTTGGGTGAGTGAGTTATGTGTCCGATTATGCTTATGATTTTCCTTATTTTGTATTGAGTTTATTTTTAAAGATACACAATGTGTGTTAATCTGATTTATCTGTATTTTAATCTTTTGTTTTTATCTTTTAACTGTTTTTTTGTTTGTTTGTTTGTTTGCGTCGGGTGTGCTGCGTTAACCATGAGGCCGATTATGATCGGCCAGGAGGGTTGCAGCATACTCGTAAACCAAATTGCAACGTATTAGCCACGAAACTTAGTAAAATTAGATAACTAGTAGATTTAATTCTGACATAAAAACATCAATTTATAAATCATAACAAATCTAAATTTTATGAAAAATTCATTCGCACCGTTTTATGTATTACGCATGTTTTTTAGCAACTTCCCAACTAAGCTATCTTTACAGACTTATGAAGGAAGGGGAAGGCTTTCAGACGCAGGATACGTTTATTTTTTTAAACCATCAAGTCATATGGAACGCGGTGCCCCTTCCGATCGCAGCGACTTAAACCTGTCTCCGCTCAGTAGTACATCGCTTACAAGTTAGTTCTGAAAGTATATTTTCGCCCCGAGTACAGCTGTGCGAAAATGAACTGCAGGCATACTTACTACTCCGGTTCAGTCTGGCAGCTATGGTTTCCCAGCAAACAGCTTTCTTCATGTTGTCTCTATAATCTTCAGCATCCGTTGCATATATACATGGATAATTCTGAATTTCTAGAATTAGATCTTCCATAAGGAACCTTTTTAAGGCGCAGTTACAACATCGTATTTTTATGAGTCACGAAACGCCGAGCGTCAAAAGCAGCATAACGTAGGAGACAAAAAAAAAACGGCCTTCGCTCTTCCGCCAGGCATATCGGCAAAGCGCATGCGCGTTTGCATCGCGGAACGGGACTACATAGCTGAGACGGGGGGAAGGTTATCGCGCGAGAATACAGTGCGATCGATTCACATCGCCCGCCCTGCCTTTGTTGTTTTCGGAAGGTTGTAGATGGCATGTTGTCAAGATTCGAATCTCACCCGTCACGTGGCGCCCTCTGCTTGGTGGGTAACTAAGGATATTAATATATAGCGAGAGTACTTATTCGTATATTATGAACAAACAGTTTTGTAGCAAGTATCGTTACGCAGAACGGGTAGCTATTATTTTTATTCTAGGATGTTTGGAAACTTGTACCATACTTTGAATAAATTTCTTTTCCAAATTTATGTTTTATTCTATTATTATTCTACAGCAGGGTTCAGTTTTTTAAAATTTGAGTTCCGGAGCCTATGGATGGCTGTTAAAAATAACGAACGGTAATAAATAAAACAACAAATAATTATTGATTAAAAACAAACAATTAAAAGACGCAAATAAATATATATATATAAATTTATGATCATTAGAGAAATAATAAACTAAATTAAACTAATTCGTCATAAAAATAACATGAAATAAAAAAATGATAGATACTAAATTAATGATAACGCATTGTACGCGGTAATGATAGGGAAAAACAAGTTTCGAACCCGTTTCGTTCTTTGTGCCCGTGTGAAATTACTGTTTCCATAGTTTGACTTCTCTTTCTTGGGATAGGTAGAGCCCATAATTATTCTTTTTTTCTGAAGAAATTACATTTCGAAACGAGAAATTTTTTTTTTTTTCCCTTCAGTGTTTAAAGGTTTTCCACGTACTTTGATCTCCCGCAGGAAAGTGAAGTTGCGTTTTTAGTAGTTAGTGTCAATTCATGTGTTTATATCGCGATTCAGTTGCAAAGAACTCTCAGAATTTTCATCTTACGTGAAGCTTTGGTACACTTGGACTGAAATACTGATTTCGTTCAAAAATTAAGCTGTTCCAATGCGGATTCCGGTGTCATTTATTTATTCCGCCATTAGACACTACACGGAAAGAGCGGCATGCCCTGTGGAAGACTTTTTAAAGGAAACTGCATCGCATCCAAGTTGCGCATGGGGGGGGGCGGAAACAACGAAAGCGCCCATGCAGCCGGATGCCGATCCTCGGTTCGCCGATCCTCGGACCGAACTACCAGCGTTCAACGGCTTTTACCGCTCGGCCGCCGGTAGGCGATTCCGGTTGGTTGCGGTTCAGTTTCAGCACTATTCTACAGAAAAATATGCTTGTGAAGAAGGGGATCCTATCTCATTCTTTTGTAATGCACTAAGATGTGAAATCGAAAACAATTTGTGCACCTAGGATCACCGTATTTTAAAAAAACCTAACCCAGAATATTTTGTGAAAATTTAAAAGCCTTAATTTTTTTGAGTTAACGCTACAGATGAAATGCTGATTTAAAGAAATAAACAGCAAAGAACTCGATTAACCAAAATACTGTGAAAAGTAGACTGATATGTCGTGCATTTAACACAGTTAAGGCGTTTGAGTACACTATCCTCTATTTAGCATAGTTTTATTAAAGAATCATTAGTTAGAATAACTATTAGTTAGAAATCTTTATTTAAGAATTTAGAGAGTTTGCTTAACTCAGATAGAACACAAACAGAATACAAATCAAAGTTAACAGTCTTTATAAAGATTTAAATCGAGGTGTTGAACAAAAAAAAAAAAAAAAAAAACTTACAAGATGCTCATTTATAAGTTTTAAATAGCTTCAGGCTTACCTATTAGGCGATATTATCGGAAGTATATTCCATGAAAGAAGGTAACATGTCGGGAAAAAAAAATGAAACACAAATACAGTGCAAGTACAAAATCTTTTTAAGATTTCTGCATCTAAAAAAAACATACGTAGAATTCTCTGTCGCCAATATATCGTTTGTTTTTGACGCTGCCAGTTTCGTTATGCAAAAGTGACATTAATTTTATTCTAACATAGACCGCGTTCTTTAGTACGTCTATTATGAAGCTGTACTGATGAAATTACACACATGGGTCTAAAAATTTACCTGATTTTATTGTAAAATATATGCATGCCAGTAAAAATATACAGTGGCTCATGAAAGTGTTCGTACACTTACGAGTTTCAGTGAAATATTGCTTTATTCATTAATAAAAATTAATATTTTAGAATGAAATTTTTTAAATAATATCTATACATTTTTCTTAGCAAAATTACATTAATTATTTTATGAATGTATTAAAACTTTTTTTGGAAAATCAATAATAAAAAAGTAACAGAAAATTTACTTCACAAAAGTCTTTTTACGCTTTAGAGAAATCTGCATATATTAGTGAATATTGTAGTATTTCTGGCAGTTAGTATTTTGTACTACATCCTGCAGTATTTCGTGATAGATTTCAAACATGTAGGCATAGAGTTCACCAATTTTTTTATAATATCTGCATCAATGTTCCTCAATTCTTCCATCATTACAGTTTTTAGTTCGGTTTTCGTTTTAATGTTGTGTCTTCGTACTCTAACCTCTCATTCTCTCCAAATGTGTTCTGTCGGGTTTAAATCTGGTTACTGTCATAGTGTTTTCAGAACTTGTAGACAATTATAGACACCCAAAAGGGGAATGTTAAGGACTGTGTACTTAGGATCATTATCCTGATAAACATAAAGTTGTTTCCAGTGTCCAAATTTTGGGTAGATAATTTTAAATTACCTTTTAAAATATTTAAATAAAGAGCATGGGTAATTGTGTCACCAATAAATACTAAATTATTTAATCCTGATGCTGACATGCACCCTCACACAAGAACACCTCCAACGCCATGCTTTACTGGTCGAACCAAAGTCTTGGAGATTAAGCTCCCTTTTTTTTTTCTCTCTATACAATTATACGCCCCATCGGAACCCAAAATGTTAAATTTGCTTTCATCTGCAAATAAGATATGATTCCAATACTTCGGGCTTTTTTACCATTGATTTTGAGAAGAAAGGCCTAAGCTTTCTGTTTTTTGGGCTTCGAAAAATTTTTCTTCGACCAGAGCGCCTATGTAATCCAACTGATCTGAGTACTCGCCGAACAGTTTTAAGTGAAATTAAAGTAGAACATTTTTCAGAAAATTTTTTAGAAATCTTTACAACATTCAAATGGGGCTTTTCACAGATTTTCTAACTACAAATCTCTGATCACGTCGAGTCCTCTTTGCCGGACAACCTCTTTTTACTTAATTTCGGATCCGATTCCCTTCTTTAAGCATTTTATCACATACTGCACTACAGAATGGGATAAATTTACTAATTTAGCGATATCCTAATAGAATTTCTATCCTTTTAATAAAAAATTGATCAGATGTTCGAATGCTGTTTGTTGTTTCCTTATGACTGTGATCCATTTTTAAATATTAAATAAAATATAACGAAGTAAGCAAGCAAATAATACAAACATTTTTTTAAATGTCAGTAAAATGCAAAAATAAAAAAGTGGTAGACGGGAAATTTATTTATGAAATTTTACGAAACTCTTTCTGTGTACGATCACATTCGTGGCGTGCTTCATCAATGTCTCTTTAAATTTTCAATTTTAGAAAAAGAAAATAATATTTAAAATTAAAAAGTTTGGTTTTATTCAAAATTACATAGAGATGATATGAAAAAATATTGGGATTTATATTCGAATTCAATTCCGGGTTACAGCGCTTTTCCTGCAAGTTCTTAAAGTGTGCGAACACTTTTGTGAGACACTGTAAGTAAGACTAAGTTGGCATTGTTCTTCAGTAAACTAATAATTTCTTCTTCTTGAATTGTTATTGAAGCATTAAATGTTCTTTTTATCAATTATTAATCTACAGAAGTTAAATATTAATATAATTTATATCTATATTAATATGTTATTAATAAAAGTTAAAGAGGGTGATTACACATTTTTAGAACGATTTCGGAACAGTTAAATTAATATTGAAAAATATTAAGATTATTTTTTTTAATATTTGATCTGATAAACTTTTTTTCTGGTATATAAATCTGCATCGTGATTTCCATGATAGAAGGACGTTTCGCAAAATTTCCAGAAATATTGCTTTCTATTTTTCTGCCACTATTTTCCAGAGTTCGTCAATCGTGGTGGGTTTGGGCTTAGAAAGAGCTCTTTCAATAAACCAAAGGCACAATAGTCCATAGATGAAACGTCTGGAGACTTCGCAGGAATACTTTGAAAAAGTATGTATGCAATACTTGTATCAGTTTTTATTTTTTTAAGGAATGCAATAGTACTTTTCGAAGTATAACTTATTGGTTTATCTTCACTAAGCCATTGGAATAAAGAAATGGAGTTTCTTCTGTAAATATCGGACGTAAAACTTTCTCCTGGTACGTTAAATTGATAAACATGTGCTTCATCAAGGACCATAATATATTTTCATTTATTCCCTATTAAATAGTTTTCATGCAGGGTATAGGCAAATTGTTTTGTGTTGAGCCACATGCCTCGACAAAAGCTGGTGAACATTCTCGACAAAAGCTGGTGGCCGGGTGTTATAAGGATGCTAGAGGATTTTTTTTTTTTTTTTTTGTTAATTACGATAATAATGCAAATATTCATAATTTCTCTAGCTAACACGTTTAAGTTTTTTCTCTGTGCGACATCGACAAAAACAGGTCATTGTACCTATATTGACCTACCTGAAAGGGGAGTAAACCTACAATAGGGACCTGACCTACAAAAGGAGAGTAAAAAATCTATAATACGTAGTTTTGTTTTGTAACAGGAGTGACGTGGATTCTGCCAAAAGAGACAAAACGCTCTGATTTTGTCAATATTTAAAAGTTACGTCACTATTATTCTCCTGTGACTACGAAGTATAATCAGGTAATCCTTTCGTTTAGTGCGAGAGATAGCATAGAATACATTAAACAAAATTTTCTGATTTTGTTGACATATAAAAGTTACGACACTATTATATTCATGTGACTGTAAAGTACTGTCAGGCAATAGTTTTGCTTGGTATGAAAGATAACACGGAATACATTAAACAAACACCACTGTCAAAATGCTTCCCTTTTAATAGCAGTTTTAA